GCTAGCCTGAGTTCCATCTCTGCCTTGGCCTTCCTAATAGCTCTCCTGCACTCCTGGGCCGAGGAGGAGTACTCTTCCTTGGTGATAATTCCTCCCTTCCACTAGTTGTACGCCTCCCTTTTAGTCCTCAGACATTGCTGAATGCCCTTGCTGAGCCAAGGGGGTTTCTGAGCGCTCTTACCCACCTTGCTTCTCTCAGGGACTGTTATCCTTTGGGCCTGGATGATCACCCTCTTAAGGTATGACCATCCCTCGTGGGCTCCCACCTCCTCTACCTTCTGGGCCCTTAGTGCCTCCCCCACTAGTCTCCTAAGCTCATTGAAGTTGGCCCTTCTGAAGTCAAGGGCTTTAGCCTTGGTGTGAGCCCTAGACGCCCTGCGTTGGATAGTGAAATCCAGCAGGTGATGATCGCTATTGCTCAGGTGGTCAAGGACCTGCAGTCCCCTCACCAGGTCATCCCCCATGGCCAGGACCAGGTCCAGCAAGGTGTTACCCCTTCTTCCTGTTTATTCATAAACTGGAAAAGAAAGACAAGCTTTCCTGCTTTTTCAGTTCCTAAGCAATTTAGAATTAATTCTCAATTTAGAATTAATTAGTCTAAAAGGAAGAAAATATTCTTTCTACACCAGCAGAAAAAGCTACTGCTGTTAAAAGCTGGATTATCACTTCAGTAGTCTCTGATGGATCTAAGTGCTTAAGTGACTTCCACCAGTTCACTGGTGTAACTTTCTTTTAAATCTCATCAGCAAACATATTTCTTGAATGGTTCACCCTTAGCCCTGACATTTATTGTAGCTGGTATTATGGAGGGGTGATTGTTGGATGCCCATGTCATAGCCAACCCCTCTTCTTCAGTAGTTAAGGATTAATATGGATGCCAACATTGAGAATATTGGCAAAAAAGAGCTAGAGATGGTGCTGGATTCATTTGTTTTTAATCCCTGTAATTTAACTCTGTCACTGCATATTTCTCTTTTCAAGGTCGTACTCAGTTCCTTCCAAATATCAACAGCATCAGCCATAAAACAGTGATTTCCCTATACTTTGTTCAAGGCTATGGAAACAGGCTTCAGGATAGCTGGTATATGTTCTACATTTCTCTTTAGCCCAATGCTGAAAACTTTGGCTATGACAGTTCCACCTATTTTGTCATGCTTTTGTTCATAAATTGTCATCAGATTAGGCCAGTTCTCAATATCTCTCTCAGAACAGTCCGCTACTGAGCTCCATCACATGTCTTGTGGGAGAGTTAGTTTGGTATCTCTTGCTTTCTTCAGAGCAGCTGCTGCAACGTGGTTGTTACAGAAGTATTTTGCAATTTCAACAACATTTTCTTTTATTTCTGGAGTACTGAAGTCTTTGGCTAAGAGGTGCATCAAATGAGCAATGCAGCCGTATGTCATTAGCTTAAGGCTTTCTTCACTTCTTCTCATCTTTGATATATTTGCAGCATTGTCTGCAACAAAGATGCATACTAGATATTCACATTTTTTCAGTTTGTTATAGCTTTTACTGCTGCTACTTGTAAGTATTCTGCTGTGTGCGCATTTCCTGATGTATCAGTTGTTTCTGTAATGTAGAGACAGTCCCTTCTGTTATCACACAAGCATGTATTACTAGATCATTGTGGACTCAGGTTTACAATTTTCCTCTCTAGACTCTTTCCACGGTGTTCAAGTTCTTTCTCAGATGCTTATCTAGTAATATTGTCTCAAATAGTATATGGTTAGAAGTTTTAATCCCTATTCCATGATGATATCTTTGAGCGTTAACATATCTTAAATTAAAACTATCTTTATATAGGTTGCTTTTTTTTTTTAAGTATCTTAACACAAATAAATAAATCACATATTTTTTAATAGTTGATTTTTGTCCACCCTGTTTTAAACTGCTTAAAGCGCTAATGTCCTTAACTTCAGAAAGCTTTATTGCTTCCAAATTCAAAGCTTGGGGGCAATGGGACCCGACTATTGTGATTTAAGTGCCCAGCCTTTTTTTTGCACATCAGTCTAAAACACGTCTTTGTCTTTCAGGTGACCTGGGAGTGAACAGTGGGGAAGAGCTGCAGCTCACCACCACCATCACCCACGTTGATGGACCGACAGAAGTTTACAAACTGGCTCGGAAGGAGGCCCAGGAATAACTCCAAGAACACCTCAGCTTGCAGACAAAGTGAAGTACAGTACCCAGAATGATGCGGCATCTTTCTTGATGAAACGTCTGAAATAACTCACTGTAAAAATGCCCAGTATTTATAGCATATTTTCACAGAGCAGTGGCACTCAATAGAACATTTGTAAACTTTCTTTTAATATGGTGTAGTTATACTGGGGGGAGGGATATGTATTCTCTACTGCACACGCAGCTATGCTAGAAAAACTCTAAGGTTACAAAGTCGATGTTCAAAAGTTAGGTGGTACCAGAGCTCAGCTGGTCTGTGCAGCCTTAATTTGGCCCCCCTGTGTGTATGCATCACAATGTGGTCACATATTGCTCCCACCCTTCTACACCTCAGCCCAGCCCCTGCCAAATCCATGCACAGAGTATTATTCTTTGTGCAATGTCTTACTTGAATGATCTCAAACTGAAATCAATGACATACATTAAGTTACATTATTGTGTAGGCACGTTGACCCTCAGAATTGAATCATCAGCCACATTCAGGGCTTTGGATTTGTGTGACCGTGAGCTAAGGGCATTTGGCAACAGGGGGAGTAGGCTGTTGTCCTGTATGTGGACTGACTGCTAGGAAGCTTTGCCAGTAACTGCCCCCTCACTCCCATCCTTTCCACTGCACTTTCCCAACCCTTTCTGGTTTCCCCCAACTGGCTTCTTGCTGCTATATTCCAGTGTGGCTCATTCACTTCTGTGATGTCTAGGTGCCAGCAGGGAGTGAAGGGGTGACAGTCTCTCTGCTCTCTGTTCCTAGACCTGACCTCAGAGCCACCTGTAGAAGCTGGGAGGAATAATGCAGCAAGGTCCTCTTTAGCCCCTGCAACTCCAGGGGTAGAGGTGTGTTCTTTGGAGAATCTAGCTGCCCCATTTCAACTAGTGTCCGTACAAGAGCTCTGTTTTTTTCAGAACTTATGGGAGCAGTAAATGGGGAAAAGATGGCTGGGAGGAGGGGACTGGGAGAAAGTGTCCGAAGTAGAGGGATGCAAAGATGAAATAGGGTTGGTGCAGCAGGGGATAAGAATCGGGGTGGGGTGGCAGTCACGGACAGGTCTGTGCCTGCTGGAGCACGTGACCTTCAGAACCTGGAGTGTTGCATTCCTCTGCTGTCAGGAAGCATCTACGAGATCTGGCTAATAATGCTCACTCCCCCTTCAGGCTTGGTCCACCTAGATGACAATCTACTTCCTCAGATGGCAGAGATTTGCATTTTGAAATTAAAGGGTGCCTATACACAAGCAGCAAGGCTGGTCCAATGCGCTGTAATTACAACATGTTAGAGCAGACTCGATTAATCAGGTCTGCTGGAGTGTGGTAATTACCATGCTCCAGCAGACTCCAGCATCTCATATATTCACGTCCCCATGCTTAAAAATGGCAGTGGGGAAACTTTTAACTAAAGCTTGTTGAATGACCTTTAGTTAAAGCACCCCCGCCATGATTTTTAAGGGCAGGGATGTTGATGCATGAGATGCTCTAGGCGTTTTCATTAGTGCAGCGCTTGGAGCCACTTTTATTAAAGTATCCCCCGCCCTCCCAGAGCCCATGTATAAAGGTTCCAAATTTGCTGATAACTTTTGTAGAAAGTTCTTCATGTAAAACTTTTTTTTTCCCCCCCCAATTATTTTTGAGTTCTGGGAAAGTGCAGGCATGCATGCGCATGTGCATTCTGTTAGGTGAACACTAAGGTTACCAAGTCAAGCACTCAGAAGCTAGGAAATGCTGTGATGAAGGTTGCCTGTGTAACCTTAATGCAGCACTCTCTTTAGATGCTGTCTTATTAGAATACTGTCTTCAACTGTGTGATCAGTGTGATTGTTTTCCTGCAGGAGCCTTGCCTCAGTGAAGCATAGGACAGTATATGCGCTGTGGATGAATCGAGGATATGTAGCGAAGAATGTCCTTGTGTGTAGAACCACTGTCATTCGTGTTGTCCCTGGTTCCAGCTGGACTATATTTGCAAATGTGTTCTGCACTGAACAGCTCCAGCTGAAGTCAAACATGGCTGAGCTTTAAGCACAAGGGCTAGTACAAAAATGCTAAATAATCTTAATCAGGCTTTAGATCTCAGTTTGGGCATCCACAATTATCAAAGGCTTTTGACAGTTTTAGCCATAACTTCTGTGCCTCAGTCTCCCATCTGTAAAATGGAGGTGAAGTTTATCTATATTTGCAGTGGTGTTTGTGTTGGCTACTATGGCTAACAGTATAGGAACACCCAGGAACAAATTAATTTTCACCTAGTGCTAGGTTCATTTGTCTCCAGGAAGGACTACACTTTCAAAAGAGGATGATAACATAACATTAAGAAGTAAGGTTCCTGTAGAGAAAAGTAGTGTTCAGTAATGTAATTGATTAGTATCATCATGCATATGCAAAAGGACACCAAATTAAGGTTACCCAGGCAACTGTACGTGTGACTTTTTGTAATTTTTGAATGTTTGACTTTGCCACTTGAACATTCTTTTTAACAGATTTTTATGTAATATTTATGTACTTTGAATAAATGCCTTCATGAATTCTTTTATAGTTTAGTGTAACATTTGTATTTTGTAAAGGTTCTTTACAAAAAGGGCATTGCAGCTTTAAAACCAAATCTTGTGCGTCTCACACTAACAAGTCTGTTACGATGTAGATATCTTTTTCTGTTTGCATAACTACTTATCCCTACTTATATGTCCCAGAAACAGTCCATGGGTCTTACTAAAATGTGTTTTTCTTTTTTGTTTGGTTTTGTTTATGATGTGTTCACTTTTTACAAAATGCTTTAAGCAACCTGGAAAAATGTAGATTCGTTAATTTAAATAAAATATACAATGTTGTGATTTTTGTTGTTTGGCCTGGCTCATTGACTAATAGGAAAAATTGTAACCTTTTTCTGGCTGTCATATTGTGAAGTTTTGCTCTTGATGATCTGACTTTTGTGTTTGGTGTTTATGAAAGTACAAAGCTGATTTTTGGGAAACAGAATTCTCTCTCCTGCAGCTCTGATTTTGGTGGGAGATGATTAATGAGCAACTTCATCATGGTGCATTTTTTAAATGTTCTAAGATGCAGAAAAGCACTGTTCCACTGACTGGTCTCCTCTCTTTAAACTCAGCACTTCAGAAGTAGTTAAATTCACAGTCTGTCTCATTAGCATAAGGTCTGATCCAATTTTTATGAAGTCAGTGAAAACTGAAGCTGGATTGGTGGGTCCAGCTTATGAAAATAGAGAGTAGCTAATTGAAATCCCTCTTACCTTTTTACTTCAGACTGATTCTGCTAGTTAATTTAGCATGTACATACAGGTGGGGTGCTCATGTAAAGAGAAAGATAAGTAGTCTGTGAGTGCAGCTCTTCATGCACTTATGCAAAACAATAAACTCCAGTGCATGTCATGCTGGAGGTTTTCTTCTGGGTGCTGTGTTTACACATGTACCTGTGATCACCGCACATTGAACTGGGTCAGAGCAGCCCCAGCTGGCAGGGGATGCAGGGAGTCAGCCTGCTAGCCCGGGACTGCTCTGACCCGGCTTAACATACTGCGGAGGGCCTGGCTGGGGCACAAGGTGCTTCAGTGCAGGACTAGCTGTCAGGCAGACCCACACTGAAGCACCCTCGTACCCCAGCCAATGTCTACATGTTGCTGCTGCGCAGTAAATAATGTCGCCACAGATTAGTGCTTGTATTTCACAAGTAGTAACCTACAGCGGTGTGTTAGTTTCCTGCAGCCTAATAGGGCAGCATGTGTAGATGCCTTGACTTTACTGCAGAGCTAATTAGGCAGCTCCATGTCGGGGCCGAGGGGCTGTGGCCAGCAGCCCGGGCACGTGGGCCGGGGAAGTCGGCACGGCGAACTAGAATTAGGCACTGACGCGTGGAGGTTGATTAAAGATTATTTTACTTACACCGTAGATGGTCGCGGTGCAGGCAGGAAAACTTGCTTGGTTACAGTTGTAGACAGAAGAAAAGAAGAAAAACTCGAACGATGAGAGCTCTTTAAACCGATACGAGAGTCCGTGTTGTGACTCTCAGCGAGCGCGCAGGGCAGGGGTACGTCAAGGATCGTCCGGTGACGGGGAGAGACTCTTGATGGGTGATCAAACCACCATTCGGTCCGAGATTTACGTAGAAATCCACGAGGTAATCGTGGACTCCTTGCTGGAATTCTCTCGGATTTCTCCCGGAATTCTCGGAATCGGGGTTCTCAGGATCCTCCTGAGATTCTCGGAGAGCTCCGACTTGGGCGGAAACTGCTCAAGCCTCTTATACGGCTAGCAAGCCAATCGCTAGCCGCCAGGTGGGAATAATTTGGAACCAGCCAATAATGGGACACACATTTGCATGCGAGCGGCGGGAACTCATTTGCACCGGGGTTTTCTCTCTGCAGCTGAGAATTGCACCGTGCAAAGAGAGCTCCATGTGGCAGGAAATAATTCTGCAGTGCCGAAGCGCGCACACAATCATTGGGTAATGACACTCCACAGTAAATGCCTCATGTAAATGTGCCCAGTTTGAAATACTTTGAATGAAGACAATAACATCCATGGGGGATTTATCCCTGCTTGAGCTATTGCATATAGTATCACATGATACAACGCTTATTTTGAGAACTAGGAAACCGTCTCAAAAAGACAGTCTCTTCAGATTAAGTCTGAGTGCTGAAAACTAAATATGAAACCTGCCTCTGCTCGGGCTTTAGGGTGTGTCATTCGTTTTACCTTTATTTTCCCCAAATATCCCAAGCTTGCTTTGTACCAAGAGAGGTCATTGTTGATGTTACTTGTGGGGGCTCTCAGATGTTAGGCAGTGGGCATTTTGGAATTTAGATGTGTGGTATTGAGAGAGTCTGCTTTGACTTCAGTCATGCATATCATTTTCTATGATGAGGTATAAAAAGGAAACTAGCCGCCAGAGCTTCAAAGGACAGCACACAATTTCTGCTTCCCAGCTCCTTCCAACCACATCAGCTCAAGATGGGTCTCCTCTCCTCCCCCACCTCTTCCCTTCCACTTCCCTTACTGCTCTCACTGGCCTTGCTGTTTTCCCTCCCTCTCATTCTCTCTTTCTCAGGGCTGTTTTTTTTAATGTGTGCTTCATGGCACTTCAGTTTGGCAAGGCCTACTTTTTCACCTTAAATCTTATTTTTACAATTACAAAAAGTCTTAAAGCCTTTTTTGCTATCTCTTCTTTTGGCCAGTTATCATAGTTTCTTCCAGGTACCTGAGTTTTAAGACTTCTGATTTAGCCATGGTGCTGTCTGTGTTTTATGCCAGTATTCCTGGGGGGGTGCTCCATACTTCTAGAAGTGCTCTGTTTCTAAACCTTTTGTTAACTTCCCAGGCTAGGGGAGAGCTGCAGGATCAGGCTCTGTATTACCTGCTGGGCAAGTCCATGAAGCCGGCCTCTAATTCCAGAGTATAGGAGTCCATAGGGTGCTGTGTCAAAGGCACTACTTGCCCATCAAAGAGGCCTTTGATTCCCTTCTGCACCTGAGAAGACTTTGAGCATGAACTCAAACATGATTTCAGAAGCAAGGTTCCCATGCTTAAGGAAACTGCTTAACTATCTCCTTTTTGTCCTGCCTGTTCCAAGACTTGGTAGCCTCAAGTAGACCCTTCTGGTTACATAGAAATCGTCCTGTTAAGAACCCAACCTCCTCTGGCCATTGCCCTGTTTTGGCATTTCCAGCAGTGTCACGGGGCTACGTGGTTCTGAGCAACTTTTGATGGCAGCAGAACTGGAATCTCTTCCTTCGACTGCCTCCACTAGGACAGCCTGCAAATCCATTAAGCCTGGAGACACCAGCCCCTCTTACAAGAATTATCCCTGCCTTGGTGTCTATTGGCATTGCTAGCAGCTGTCTCTGATGCTTCCCTTGGTGAAGAATACAGTCATACCAGAGTTTCTGAACCTTCTCCACGGACCCCCTGGCTTCTGGTCCAATAGCTCCAAAAATCTCTCCTAGCCTTCCTAGCATGGCCCTTGTTACATTAGGCTTCTTACCAGACAACTCCAGTAGCAGATTGTAGAGACTAAGCTGCCATTTCTTTACCTCAGCTTCATTGGTGTCCAACACAAAACAATCTGCAAACTAAGTGAATACTCCATGTCTGGGTTCCAGATTGAGCAGTTTGTTTGATACTAACCCATTTTATTTACCCTTCTTCTTTGGATGCAGCTGCCGTCTTCCCTCCTGCATTCTAGGTGGATGATTTCAGAGGTTTCCAAGACCTCGTGAGGTGGTTACTCAGACACTGCAAATTCCTTGGGAGGAAGTGGTTTAGCCTTCACAGACTGGTAGATAGCAATAGCAGCAGTCTGTTCCCAATAAAGCTGTCCACCATAATGCAAGAGGCATAATGTTGCCAAACCCTTAGATTGGCCCTACCCCCTCCTCTCTTGCTGGAGAGGACAATGAATAAGCAAAATGCTCTGCAATACATCAAAAGATAAAGAGTCCAAAAGGCTGTGCGTCACCTTATTCCTAGGAATAAAGAAGAAATCTTATTCCTAAACTAGGCAGTGTTTCAGTCTGGCTAATTACCAGTGTCTCTTGGTGTAATGCAACTTCCATATTCTATAATATATAAAATCACCTGGAGTCTAGAAGTAATTGGTAAATGCCACAAGGGATACGTTTATGCTGCTGCTTTTTGAAGGTAAGGTGGTGGGTAAAACCCCATTTCAGGCTGCCTTAGGTGCAGTAGATTATGTCCCATGGCTGTGCCTGCGGTCTCGTGATTCTAGTCTTAGCTCCAGTCTCTAGATTGCCGAGGGAGGTGCAGAACACAGTGAAGGATCCTTCCTTTTCGAGGAGCAGAGCACTTCAGCTCCAAGACTGAGGCACAGCATACTATCAAGGACTGCTGGGCCACCCTTTCCTCCCTTGGGGTCCTCAGAGCTGCACCTAAAAAGACTTTACAACCCTATTCAGGGAAGTGAGAATCTTGGCATTCTGCTGCTGCTCCGCTATATATTGCCCCCAAGAACTCGGGGGAGTTGGGGACATACTACAGCACTCCTTGGTGACCAGGCAAAATCATTGATGGGGCAGTTGAAAGATGCATTTCACTTCCAGAGACTCATTCTTCCTTCCTCTGGGGGATTTACGATCTTAGACTTCAGCTTGTGGATGAAAAAGTAGAACTTTTTCAAGTTCAAGATAGGAAGATTCACCACTGTTATACCATCTTTACTGGGGCTTTGCAACTCTAGATATTTGTTTGCAACTCTAGAGTTTCAGGATGCAATTTTCCTTATTGTTACCAAAACTTCGCAAAATAAATCTCTGCTTCATGATTGTCACAACCCAAAGGGTATGATTTCTGTTTTTGTGTGTGCTTTGGCACCACTGAATTATTTTCCTGCCAAATTGTAGCTTTCTTTGCAGGGTGCATTTCTTGTTGCAGCACAGAAATGCTCAGTGCAAAGAGTTCCCGCCATTCGTATTCTAATTCGAGCCCCATTATTGGCTTGCATTAAATTATTCACACGTGGCGGCTAGTGATTGGCTTGCTAGCCGTATAAAAGGCTTGGGTGGTTTCCGCCCAAGTTGGAGAACTCCGAGGAGAACCCCCGCAAGGGAGGACTCCACGAACACCAGGAGGAGGAGACTTCACGCTGTGTGAAGATCTCTAAGCGCTGCGGAGCCTATTGGACCCAGTGCATTTAAAGCAGGCAACAGGGGTCTGATCAGCCTCTAGCCTCTCCCCATCACCGAGCGCAAACCTCGACGTATCCCTCTCCCTGCGCGCAAAAAAGGACCCACGGAGCCTAGCAAACTTCGTGTGAGTGAATTGTAAGTGAACAAAAGGATCCACGGAGCCTCGACAACTCCGTGG